ACCGAAAAAAGCGGAGCGAGAGGAGAGACGAACTGCTGTACAAGCCGCTGGAAAGGCAAAAGCCTCGACACGAACCTCCGGCGCGAATCTCGGAATTTTTAGACAATACGATCCGCACAGTTCCTGCATTCCGACCCTCTTCCCCTTTCTACCGATCGATTAACGCGACGCCAAGTGAATCGATCATCCGGCATTTACCTACCATCCTCCAGCATTCATTTCCTCGTATTATCGCCTACGTTCTGTACACCTAATTCACTGAAATACAGTATTATGAATTTTGTATTATTCATATATTCTACGTGGACGAAACAACTCGCGGCGCAATAACTTTCGTTTGATCGTTCGTCGACAAGATCTTTCTCATTCCGCTTCGTCGGTACTCGTCGATCAGTCTAGGAATTTTTGATTTTCACAAATTGGACAAACACAACGCGTCAGCCTCGTTGGCTCGAATTTTTCGTGCTCGAGAATCCATTATACTCGAGGGACAAAAGATTCTTAATCGGCGACCGAGCCGAAGCTCGGAGGGTTGTTCCACGTGACAGATCCTGCGAAATTGTCAGCGTCACGACGCGCGTAATCGATCTCACGGCGATCGATATAATTATTATCGGGAACAAATCGAGCGGTTGGCTGGTCTGTACTCTCGTCTTTAAGTCTGCCCAAGATTTAAGACAAAAAGGAACGAATGAAGTGCGGCAAATAAATGCTGTACTGTAAGACGAGGTGCTAGAGTGACGTTTGAATGGAAGGGCAGATCCTTTGTGCTGCACCGGGAACCCGACACCCGAAAATTGTTCTCAAAAATTCGTTATACGGATAAAATCTATGCGCCATTCGAAGCATCGTATTATATTATTGCTACGACATTTTTACAAATATCGTTCGAACGACTTTTGCAAATTTTGTTAAACGTTTTAAACAATTTCCACGTATAAAAAATTCTGGCCTCTTACGGAGACAAATAAGATCAGTCTAAGAAGATTTAAGTTTGTTCGACTGACGATAATAAACGATTCTTTAAACGATTAATCAACGTAAATAGTTGTTATAAGCTTCTTCTCTGACGATTCCGTAAGCAAGTAGTTGGAAAGTTGGCGACCTGTATAATTAACAGGAAAGGATTCCCAAGCGAATGAATCAGGCGGGTCAGTCCGTGCTGGTTGAGAACAGTTTGCCGGAGTGCGGCCATTTTTACGTTTTGTCGAGGTTCTTTGTGTTTTGGTGAGACATTGCAGGTCTGCCCAACACTCAACTCATTATACCACTAATTATTCATAACGTTGGGGATTATTCTGACAAAAATATTCAATTCCCACAGTGCACTCACCCCATTGCTACCCTCTTTCTTTGCCTTATTCTTTCTTCCCGGCTCATCTAACGTATCTGACGCCGAATCTCTCGAGAAGAGCAGCCAACAACTTTTCGCTGTTCTCGAAGGATCGCCGTTCGATCTCCTCCTCTTGGGTCTGTTTTGCACCCCCCGCCCCCTCCCTCTCCCCTCCTCCAACCCTGTTGTAACCACGTCGCAGCTGGTCAAGCAAGTTTTCCATTTGTTTGTACATAAGTCTGGAAAGTGATTTCACGAGGCGTGAAGCTGGGTCAGCCGACGAGAGCGTTTCCCTCTCCCTCCCCAAAAGCCGACGAAAACTGGCAAACACAATGGAGTTTGCACGTGGGATACACTAGGAAAGTCGCGCGTCAATTTTCAGTAACACGATCTTGAGTGGCTCTCTGTTAAGTGATAGCCGTAAGTGGCACGTTAAGTGCTCGTTTCACGGTGGGACGACGATACGCCTATTAATTTACTTCAACGTTCGTGACACGCGAGGGTCACGGGTTCATCCTTGTCTAAAGATTGAAACGCAATCCCCGATAATTGCCGATCAATGCTTTATTACGACGTATCGATGCTCGTGAATCGTCCTGCACCGCCTGACAAATGCGTTGTAACGTTCGTTAACCGGCGAGGGGGGAAATCGATGGCCAGGTTCGAAGCTGCAAGGTTTTTAATTGGTTTCACGGTTCTTTCTTGCCTCTGCCCTCCTCGCCAACGCTTAAAGCGGCTGGTCTAAGGAGCAACGCGTTAAAAGGAAGTGCGACTTGTATAGCAGCAACGTGGCAAACGTTGTTCGCGTTCCTTTCGTTTTAAAAATTCAGACCACTATTATTGTGAAAATTCGCGTCTAGGTACGAGAGGGCAGCTAACGACGCGACACCGGCAAGACGCGTTTCTTTGCTTCGTTGAACGCGGGATCGGTTTCTACGGAGCTGCCTCGTCAAGATGTAGGTCTTAACGAATGTGTTAAGATTGAATGAAGTGGTTGCTTGTTACTCGGCCACAATACGCGCACGGTTTGTGTAAAATTAATTATCAATTCTTCGCCCCTTCCCCCCCCCCTCCCCCTCCCTCCCTCTTTCGCCAAATGAAAGAAACAGTTAGAGGCTCCATTCGTGGAATAAATGGTACGGTTATAATTGTCGGAGCACAATGGGCCACGCCTCGCGAGCGAAACGATGTGACGGAAACAATGTCATCTTAATCGTCATCTATAAATAAACGGGGCGAGTTTTAATGATAATGACGCATTACCGCTCGCCACACGGCAGGCACGGCCATTCGTCCAAGTTCGTTGGAAATAAGCAATGAGAAATTCGCGGCAGAATCGTTTTCCCTGTGAGAAAGCCACCGTGCTCGGTAATTATTATATCGCAAGGTTGGTTGTACGTCCTCAGCACGTCGCGGAAATCAACATTCTGAACGATTTTCCTCTATTGCGAGTTTGCGAGTTAGTCGCGAGAAACACTACGACGACATTTTGCCCGAATAAAATTGACCAAACTGAATCTAACTTCGTCGAGTCGGTTTCCGTTTACGATTGGGAGTGAGACGCGTTCGGTGTCTGCGCTCGAAATTAATTGTGACATGCGTCGAAAGTGGCTTGATGCCTATAGCTTCTTTTTGTTGATAATTAGAATTATTGTCGATACTTACTGATACACACTGCTACTTGCTGATGTTACTCTGCACTCTGCTATTCTATTCTGACTCGACTCGACTGTGACATTTTTTGACGCTGACGACTGTCCTGTTTTTTACACGTTGATCGGCGAATTATAGCAGAATTGTATAGAATCAATTTAACGCTGCTGATGCCAATGAAATAATGTCACTTAAATATCTTTAAGAACGATCCGGAACGATTAGGATTTCTTATCCAGCAAGAAAAAGCGTTACCGTTACCCTTAATCATTGTTGTGTCGCTGACTATTGGGAACGACTCAACGAGGTTGTCTGCCCGTGAAGTTAATGTAACTGATCGAAATGGGACGATTATCGTAATTAGTGAGTGTAGCGGACTGATGTATGTCGTATCTTGATGTTTAACGTATGTCTCGCGTGTGCGTATTCATATATTTCACGTGTGGGCCTGTTTAGAGAATCAAGGCATGCGCGGGCCAGTCAATCGAAGCTTGAGCCGTTTCATTTCTCTGACGTAATTCCTTGAAAAACAGTGAAATTATTAAATATCAAACGATTTTAACCATGGTCGGGCGTGGCGGCTGTTACGACTTCTTACCAGAAAGAGAAAGTGGGCAACTGCTTTAATCATAACATTCGGTATCTACTAAAACAATTCTTCATACTAATAAGAAGTCTAACGTTTTAATTTCGACGGTTTTTCCTGTATTTTGATTATAATTGTCAGAACCGCCTCTGATGGAGATAGCCTTCGACCACGGTTTTTTCGATTCTTGAAACTGTCTGAGCTTCAACAATCATAAATATCTAAATTGAGACAGATTTCTTCAGACTGATAAGAAATCTAACGTCTTTGGCGTAGAAGATTTTGCGTATACGTTCTGGCATATTGTAATCATCTCGCGAAAACATTTAAAAATGTCTTGAAAACAGTTCGTCATTCGATTCACTCAACAAGACTTCAACATAACTCTTATCTTTTCTTTGTAACAGATGTAAAGATATTTTGCAGTCAGAAGTAAATTAACGATTCGTAACTTGTGGGGAAATAAACATAGCATGTGCAATAATAATGATATATATTTTAATATATCAACAGATTCAATATTATTAATAACTGATATCGAGGAAGTAGAGTCATTACTGATGGGGTGTGTTTCCTTTGTACAGCATATAATCACTAATAGCATACCACAAATGATACAGACAAAAGATAAAAGTTGGGTCTGGATTAGTCGATTTTATCCTGCCGCAGTAAAGCGGTCCTGCAACCTATACCGACGACTGTGCTTTCATGGACGTGCGAGTATAAACGAAACGTCATTGTAGTGGTACCGTCAGTTTCTTGCGAATATAAGGGAGTCCAATATTTTCGTGAAGGAAAGAAGTTGCTCGAAACGTTGATTCCTACAGCACATTTGAAAATCAAATGTACAACTGTATACAATTACACAGTACTCTTGAAAAAGAAAGTCAATAATGAGATGCAGCGTATTCGATATTGGCAGCGGATATTTTAATGTAAATGAAACTTTTGAATAACGAATAAATTTATTAATTGGGATAATCGTGCCTCTAAATTATTTCGCGGCAATTTCAATCGTTTTAAATAAGAATCGAGAGAGCCCGAGAGAATCTAACGAGAATCTGATCGAATGTCAATGTTTAACCAACGGGCATAATTCAGGAACATAATTCGTGCGAAATTCGCAGCTATCGACGTTACAAGCAACAGACGTCATTGACTCAACTAGGATTCAAATTTAATTAGCTCTTCTCGTGTGAGTTCTCGAAATTGTTTTTTTTTTTCTTCTTTTTTTATTATAAGAAAACTACAACAGACTTGTTTGAGTCTATCGGTAATTCAGATACATTAGGTTAAAAAATAACATGTGTAAGGGAAGCATCCTTATGCGATAGTGACACAATAGTGTATTTTTATTAAGTGAGTCGAAATGAGTCGTCGAACCAAAGTCTAAAATAATAAAAGGAAGGATAGGAAGGATCAACTCACCATGGGGTGGCGTGTGCTGAGTCGGACTGTGCTGATGATGGTTCGCGGTGACTGCGGTACCCGGAAGTACGTGCTGCGCGTGTGCACCCGGATGCACGTTGACACCGGCCGGTGAGGCCGGAAGTTGTCCCGGTTGATGTACCTGATGATGCGGTACATGGTGTGCAGGGTGGGGGTGGGGCGGCGGCAGGAAGGCAGCGGCGACGGCCGCCTGCGCATTCAGATAGGCCATCCGCGAGGCCGTGAGGTTGCCCAGATTCCCAAGATTCCCCAGATTGCCCAGATGATTCGTCAGGCTAGGCATGTAGTCCCATAACTTGTGATGAGGCGCCGTGGGCGCGTAAGAAACGGCGGAGACGCCGGCCGGTGGTGATCCTTGCGGTGAGCCGCGATCGGTACCGCTTCCGTTTCCGGCACCGTTCAGCCCCAGCAGCTCCTGGATCGCGAACGGCGATCGCTGTGGCATTTTTGCGTTTCTCTCGATTCCAACTGACTCGGTTCAAAACAACAACGACATTCTTCTCTCTCGGTTACGTTATCGTTAATGTTCCACGCGTTTTCCGATCGTTTCGCGGGTTTTCTCCCGTCAGTCGGTGAAAGAGCGCATGTTCAGGTCAGCGAAGGCTCGTTGAAAGGATAAGTTTTTGAAGAAGATCGTTGCTCGTTTCGCCTACTCGGTTTGTCGTTGCTCTTTCTTCGTCTCTGCTCGAGGTAACGTCTTGATTCCTAGGAACTTTGTTTAGAAGCGATTTCGCTGTCGAGTACTCTCGGGAACGGGAAGGTGTTCGTTGGGCTTTGTTCTCTGCTCTGTACTCGATGATTGCAGGTGATTTTAAAAATCGTAAAATGATTTTCCTTTGTTTTCTTTTCTTTTCTTTTCCTTTTTTTTTACAGTCAAAAGAACGAATAGAAAAGAACGAAGATATTATCGTTGCTAGGCCTTGGCATAACGCTTGTTCGAGATCCGACGGTTTCCAACAAGCGGCCGCATCGTTTTTTCAATAGCTGTAGCAACTCGGAGAACGCTAGGAGTTGATTCTTAGTATAGGCTCGCTGTGAAGCAATTGCTAATTGAGCAGTCCAGTGGATTTCGTAAGAAGATATACGAAAACGTACTCGTTCATGTACGCGAGAATGAAGAAACCGACTGGATGGACCTGTTGGCGGCCCTAAGTATTTTCATAGATCTCCATTATCGAAAACGCGTCGAAAATAAGTGTTTGTCGATTGCGGGGGGAAACTATTTGGGTGATTAGCGTAACGTGTTTTTAACTTATCTTCGTTGTAATGGTAGAAGCCAGCGAACCGTCGAGCGAAGAAACCCCGGGCAGCTTTTCAGCAAGCGACGGCAACCTGAACGACGACTCGGCGATACAAATCGGCTCCTATTTTCGTCGCGACCGTTATTACCCCGTGTTTCTTTTCACACTATGACACATCTACTGTCTAGAAACTATGCGCATTAACCTCACACTTTCGTCTAGTCTCTTCGTTGAATGATGGTTTCGTTGTGATCAGGTACGGTTTCCTGCGTTCATCGCTTCTGCGAGTGTACCAACCGGGGTAGACTCGTTCACTGAACCAAACTCGTTCCTCCTCCTTCGAAGACAATTAGAACCTTATCTCCGTTGAGGAGTTCTATTCAATGCTCCAGATAGTACGCGATGGGTTTGCTCTCATTGTTCCTCGCCACCGAAATAAAACTCTGGCTTGGACCTCAGCGATGCGCATGGAAATTCGTAGAACCGCTCTCTTTCATTCTTCTCTCGCCTGGGGATTGAATTTCAAGGACACAACGGAGTCTTCCTCGCCTCTGGTTAATCCCTTACTGAACTGGAAAGGCACTCGTGCACTGAAACTCTCCCGTCGGTACCTCATACGAAACGAGTCACGAACAACGTCCAGCGACTAATTCTGACTCTCTTTTCATACTCCTTTCGTCAACGTCTCGCACTCTGTTCAAGCTTCGAGTCCTCCCGAGTCGTTCCCCCCCCGAGTTTCTCCAAAAATCGTGCACTGGAAACGTCGCGACGAGTCGCCGGACTCACCGAAGCCAGGCTTCACTGACAGCACCACCGCGACTACTCGAAGGTCAGACAAGTAGTAAACTACGTGGATTCGCGCGGCGAGTTCCCACGAGTGGGTCGTGTCTGACGGCTGGATCTCCTCACTGTGTGCCGGCCCCCTCGGAAATTCGATCCCACGTACGAATCGAGCTGCGTGTTAGATCAGAGAGAGAGAGAGAGAGAGGAGAGAGAAAGAGAGAGAGAGAGAGAAAGAGACAGAATGAGAGAGAGAGAAAGAGAAGGAGAAAAAGAGAGAGAGAGAGAAAGAGAAGCCAACGTGTGTTTACTCTCGGAATAGTGTGCCCCGGTACGGCAAAACGTCTGACTGTCGTGTCGTGTGGCGCAACCGTGTCGTCGTCGCGGCGATGGGCAACTGAGCTGCCGAGCAGCACGGGGTTGCTCGACTGCGCGGCAGCCAACGAAAAAGGGAAACCCCCGGGGGCGGCTGTGTGCCGTACACGCACCCACACATGCACCCTTCCGCGGAGGGTGGCGTTTATCCGACCCACACACCCCCTCTGGACACCGCTTGCCCCCTACCCCTCCTCGCTCCATCACCGTTCATCCACCACTCGTTCTCTCTCGCGCGGCCGATCCCTTCCCCTTCGTCATCGCCTGCCTCCCTTTCTGCTCGATGCATACACAACCCCACTCTCGGCCCTTCTTTTCAGCACTCGTCGTCCCCTCGCGACAAAGGCGCCTCCGCTACTTTACGCGCCGACAGTGGCCGTCTCGCATCGCGGATTGGTCGGTCTTTTGAGACGGCCAGCCGGGTAGACATAGCCCTAGTTACCAACGAGAAGGTGGGGTCTGCCGATGTCAACGCCTCGACCGGTTACGCCTACGACAGACCGGTTTACCACGGCGAAAAGATCTCGGTCTGAAAGCTTTGGAAGCTCGAGTCGCGAGCTTCTTCCCAACCTCTCGCCGATCGTTTAGTCCCCCGATGTTGGACTCAACGTCTGACGGCTGATCAGACGCGGTAACGATCCCGCCTCGTCGGCACGATCGGCAATTAATTTCACGCGATTTCATCATGCGTAACCTTGTTCCGACGAGGACATTTGCTCATTTTACGATCTCGGTTCGTTGGAAATTTATCGATTTCATCTTGTTGCCGCTGATGGACAAAAAAAAAAAAAAAAGGCCAACGAAACGTAACGATGATCGAAAGTACTACTGTACTCGAAAGTACGTACAGCGGTGAAAGCTTCTTTCGATCGAGTTGCAGCGTTCAGAGTTTCCCCGAAGTCGAGGCAAAGATCGAAACGGTGGTAAAAATTGTGGCACTGTGAAACCGGCTTTCGCTCAGAACCTTTATTAACAAAGGGGGAGTGGTCTAAGAACGGGCCAATCAGAAAGCACCACTTTCAACCCTCATTGGCCGGGACGTAAATCGATTTATCACTCAACCCGTCCACGGTAGACAGGGGAAACACGCCCTTAAGGCCGGCCGACTTAAGGTCTACTCTCCTCGGATGCCTTTCGCGACTCTCAACACCGCCAATTCCACTTTAGAAGGATGGTGGTGGTGGTGGTGGCCGGCGGGGCGGGGTGGTGCGGCCGTACGAACACAGAAAGGGTGTGGAAACTCATGATCTTCGCCGACGAGTTTCCCCGATAGCGTTGGAGGAGAATTTTTTCGAAAGACTACTGAGCCCCCGTGGTTGGATCCGCGCTCGAAATTGAGCTATTTTTCGAAAACGAGGCTTTTCCTTCGTTACTCATCTTCTTTCTCTATCTACGCTCCTATCTATCCATCTCTACGTTTTTCTTTTTTCCTCCGTTCTAATAAACACTTTATATTTTCTCACTTTTGTAGTAGATGTTGTTTCTTTGAGTTTTTTCTTTTTCTTTTTTTGTTTACAACCTCATTCTGATAAATTTTAACATACGGATTCTAATTGAGAAGAAAGTTTAGTGCCCAAATTTCCACGACAGTCCCGCAAAATAAAGATTTTCAGATTTTATTGTTACAGTTTAGCCGTAATTTTATACTGAAGAGCCCTTTTGCTTCGTTTCTTAGATGTGAATTATGAACTAAAGTACGAATTGGTAAAAGTATCAATTTGTTAACTATATCCACTAAACAGAATTATGACAGTGAATATATAAAATAACAAGGGAAGTTTAACAAGTAAGAAGGCCGAATGCAAACTGCGACAAAATTCAAAAACTTTGCTAGAAAAATTGATGTCACTTGCATTTTCAAATGAAAAGCCCCGCGTGAACATTTCTGCTCGTCTAACGTTTGTCAGCAATAACGCCAAAGCAGCATAATACCCGATGCTAAGATGCTCTTTTTATCGGCGAAAAACTCGCGCATCTTCTAGCAGCGTGAGAAACAAAATGCTGAGAGAAAAAGAGAAAGGTTTTGTGTACGTAGCTTTGTCTCTTTGCAAAGTATCACCGAGTTCCTGCGTTTCATCACTTCGGCTAAGAAGTATAAGAACGGTTTCCTCATTTCCACTCCCATTCGTTTGTTGCTTATATTAAGAAATTATTGTTCATTTTCGGTAGTGCTGTTTTGTGAGACAAACTTCCGTCCAATATGCTCAACGATAATCATTTTTTCCATGTTAACACTGTATTGTAAAATACAATCATAATTTTTAATTCGTTTCAATCAGAGTACTTTTTCCCAAATAGAGAAACAACCCCCTATAAATGTTCAACTGGTCAGTTTCAAATACTGGTATAATTCTTGTTGCATCGATATTGTATTGTAAAGTATAATCTTAATTTTTAATGCGTTTCAATCAGTATGCTTTTCCCCAGAGAAACAACCCTCTATAAATATTTAATGGTCGATTTAAAATAGTATAGTTTTTTCTGCATCGATGTTGTACTGTAAAGTATAATCTCAATTTTTAATTTGTATTTTCAATATACTTTTTCGGTATATACTTCAAGTATACTTCAGTATATCTTTCCCCACGTAGAGAAATAACTCCCTATATTTAGCGGTTGATTTGAAATAGTATAATTTCTTTTTTTTTTTTTTTTTGTATCGATATTGTAAAGTATAATCTTAACTTTTCATCTATTTCAATCAGTGTGTTTTCTTCTGCCGTTCACAAAACGACCCCCTGTAAATGATCAATTTGAAATGGCACAATTTTTTTTAATATTAGTATTTCAAAATTATCAATAGTCTTAATTTTTAATCTATTTTAATTAGTTTGTTTCATTCTATGTAGAAAAACAACCCTCTGTGACTGATCAATCTGAAATAGTACAATGTTTTTTTTTATATCTGTATTTCATAATTACTAATCTTAATTTTTAATCTGTTTCAATCAGCTTTCCCTCTACGTACAGAAACAATTCTCTGATTAACGATCAATTTGAAATAGCACAATTTTTTTTTTATATCAATATTATATTTCAAAATTACTAATCTTAAAATTTTTTATATGTTTCAATCAACTTGTCTAATTCTATGTAGAAAAATCCCTATGAAAGATCAAAGATCAATTTAAACTAACACAATTTCTTTATATCAGTTTCGCATTAGTTTTTATTTATGTCAGCATTGTATTTTAAATCTTAGTTTAAAACCTCAAATTTTAATTAATTATTGCATTGTACTTTCACATTAATGGCTTAATGTATAATTAATTGTACAATCAATTACTTATTGTATTTTAAATCTCAATTTAAAATACAATTAATCCTTTTCAATCAGCTTATTTTTTTTTTATAATAAAGAAACAATACCTGCAAATGTTCAAAAGTCAGTTTGAAAAGGCACAACTGATTTTTCCCACGTAAATCTCGTAAAATACAAGATTGTATATAAATAATGAAATAATCGTTGAGACAGATGGCGTGTGCGAAAAACTAGAAAAATCCTCGTACGAAATTGTAGTAGTTGTCTCTACCGAGTCAAGATCATTGGAAACGCTGCATTGGAAACGTCTCTTACCGATCGTTTGTAGCCTCGCATTGTCGTTCAGCTGAACGGCGTCACCTAACGTGCGTTAAGTAGCGCGAGCCACAAAGTATCTGCGAACCTCTCAAATTGTAATTGCTCGGTGTGTCACCTTCGGCGAAATTTCGAAGGATTTGCAAAAACGCTTAAACTCGAGAGTGTGCGGCGAGCGATCGTGGCTGGAAAAGAAAAAAAGGGGGGCGCCCCGTTCACAGTGCTCTCCAACGACACCGCAGATCAAGTAAGTACTTGCTTGCTTCTTAACTTAACGGATTATTGTACTTCTAAATTCAGTGCATTGTGCTGGCGGTGGTGGTGTAAGGGCGCGCGCACTTATCATCCACACGGTGGAAGCGCAAATATCTTCATCGGGCCAGATCGCGACACTCTCCGCGGAGAGTTTAAGCCTCCTTCAACAGGATTCCAGGCGCGGTAACCGCGCGGGCACCACGCGACGAACGCTTCCACGCCCTGATCGCGCTTCTTCTCTCGACGCGAGAGATTTTTTTCCTTTCGCCGGGAACGTCGAAACGCGACGCGCTCACCGGCTTGGCTGGCAACGCGTCGCGATAATTTGCAATATTTAGTTAGATAGACGACGGCTGAGAGAAAAATCAGGAGGATTGCGCGAGGATACGAGCCACGCGGCGCGCAGGGCTTCTCGAACGTCGTTACACTTTGCCGCGTTTGCGAGCATGCCGCTCATTAATGCCGGCGAACTTGGGAAAAATATTCCGCGGCGAGAGTGCGTTCACGCGAATGCAGGGCGTTACGCGAGACGTGTTGTAAATCGAGCCTCGAAACGCGCAATAAAGCGAGCGAGAGCGTGCGAATGAAACGCGTTCGAAAACAATTGTAACGCGAGAAGGAGAACGCGCAAGGACGCGTAGACACGTAAAAAAAAAAAAAAAAAAAAGAAAAAGAGAAGCGAGGCGAGAAAAAGGTGGCGAATCGTCCTGCCCGTGTATCGCAAATTGATCGAACCCATTTCAGCGTGTTAACGGCCGTTTATTTCGCGGCTCGCGCTATTTACAATTAGTCAATGCACTATGCAGCGATCCTAGTTCCGGATAACTAGACCTCAAACCACTCTCGTTCCAGCGTTGTGCATGTGTTCCGCGCAGGAACACCGGCTGCCTCAACTCACGCTCTGTTAATTTATCTAATTACGATAGTAGTCGAGATCATTTATCCCCGCACGAGAGGAAATTTGAGACGAGCGCCGCCGGGAAATATGAAATTAGTCGCAATGCTTTAGCAATCTCGAAATTTCGTGATATTACGATGTAACTGTAGCTCGGCGGCTCCCGTTTCGTTTCGTTGCGTTGCTGGTCTGACCGATGCCAGAAAATTTCCCACAGTAAGAAGAATCTTTAACGAGCTCGACTCGATCGACTCGCAACGAACATGTTTATTTGAAATTCATTCTTCACCCTTTCCCGCCTCG